TAACCCACCATAGCTTCGGGAAGCGGCGGAACGTTGCGGTGAGAACCCACGCCCCTGGGGTGGAGTACCTGTGTACCTTAAAGGTCAGAAGGCCCTAGGGAGGCCCCCACGGGGAGGTCCATTCCCGGCGTTTAACGTTATGAAGGAGGGCTTCCCGGGAAATGGCTCAGAACATGCGTGTTCTTGTCAATGCTAGTGTTCACAGTCAGAGTTTTGAGCCTCGTCATCTGTTGACTTTGATATAAGTTCCAGCCCCCAGCTGTTGCCAAAATCCGATCAACACCTGGATTGGTGCAGATTCCAGTGTGGCGGTCACCAGAAGGGGGCGGGGGACAGCAGGTGAAATGAGGGCCAGGGTCCTGCACCCATTGCACCAGGTTTACTGGGTCTCTGACCTAGATAGTTTCCAGGGGTCCCACCAAAATATTCTAAATCTAGAGGTCCCCTCCGCCCGTGACGTGCCCTGTGAACTTTCTTTTTTCTTCAGGTTTAAGCAGAATACTTTTTTTATTTGTATATCAGGTTGAAAGCTCAGAGGATTTCCTTTTTTCCCCCCCCCCGCCCCCCCCCCCCCCAGCTGCCACCACATTACACTCTCATAACACAGTGTACTTTCCCTTCACAAACTGCATGGAGCTCAGAGATACACACTGTGAGTTAACATGTCATCAACATCTGTCTCATTCTCACTGGAGTGCAAGCTTAAGGGGGCAGGACCCGCATCTGTTGCTCACTATTATCCCCTCAGTGCCTGGCCCAGTGCTTGGCACATGGGAGCCATGAAATGAATGAATGGGTGGATGAGTGAATGAAAGAGACCATGAAGGAAGGAAGGAAGGAAGGAAGGAAGGAAGGAAGGAAGGAAGGAAGGAAGGAAGGAAGGAGAAAGGAAAGACGGACAGAAGGAAGGAAGGATGGAAAGACTATCTTGGATGGAGAAGTAAACCGGGGCAGGAATCCTAACATGTGGCCTCACCAGTGGTTCTCATTGGAGCCTCTCAACTCTGTTCCCAGCGCTGCTCTAGATTTACATGCATTTTATTTCATCACATCTATGAGGTGGGTATGATAGTCCTGTTATACAGATGAAGAAACCGAGTCTCAGATGAAGACCTGCCCGGCTCATGGCCTAAGTCAGTGGCGGATCCAGTGGGGAAGCCAGGCTGCCCATGAATTTTTTTGCCCCTTTACTTCCCCTGTTCAATTCAGGGCCCCTACACCCCTTTCCATTGCTCTCCCTCCCCTTCCCTGTCCTCTTTCCAGAAATGACCCCAGGGCCTTACCACAGGTGCTTGAGTTGGCAGTTAGACTGTCTGAGCCCTTCACAGAGCAGCTTCACGCCAAGGTCACCCAGGTCGTTCTGCCACAGGTCCAAATCTGACAGCATGAAGTTGTCTTGGAGCATGGAGACCAGGTCCTTGCAGCAGTTGTATGTGAGGCCACAGCTGACCAGCCTGTGGGAGAGATTTGCATGTCCTGAGGGCCCTCTCCTCAGGGTAACTGGGGTCTGGTTTCCATTTCTAGTGCTGTGGCCCTTTTGGGGTCCTTGGTGATATTAAAGGAAGAAAAGCACAGGTTTGGCTTATAGTAACCTGGGACATTTTATTTAAAATTTTTTTATTTTTATTTTTGGAGGGGTTGGGGGAGGATGGGAGCAGGTTGGAAGAGGTTTATGGGGGAAAATGATGACCTATGTAATACTTTCAACAATAAAGTATTAAAAAATAAATAAATAAAAATAAAATAAAAGTTACAGAGACCAGAAAAAAAAATTATTTTTAATCCTCACCAAGGATATTTTTTTCATTGATATTTAGCAATAGTGCAAGGGAGGAGAGAGAAGGAGAGAAACACCAGTGTGAAAGATAAAAGAATTGTTTGCCTCCTGCAAAGGCCCCAGTTAGGACAGGAATTGAAGCTGCTGAAAGGACAAAGCAGAAACGAACTCTTCTTCACTTTATCTTGTAGGGCTGGGTCCTCAGCCTAAACCCCCTCCCCTTTCTGAGAGTGACCACGGGAATGCCAGTAATATCCTAACTCCCCCAGCCACCACCTGAGTGGACCAATGAAGCTCCAGGAATGCAGCTAAGGTCTTAATAAGGCTATAGTGGGGGACGGCTCAAACCTCAGAATGTGTTGGTCACTTCCTGACCTTTGTGCTGTAAAACCCTGCTGAGAAACCCTGACCAGAGTGACCAATCTCTGTAACTCATGTCACTTACCTAAGCCCACCCAAATGACTAGCCCTATATAACCTTTGTTCTCTTGGGACTCGGGGCTCTCTCTCGCATCCAGTAATGGAGGCAGAGGGGGACCAAGCCCAGGCTTGAATAAAAGACTCTATGCTTTTGCATCGGACTTGGCGCTCCCTGGTGGTGTCTTTTGGGATCTTGAAATCTGGGCATAACACTGCAACTGAGGTTCTCACCCTTGACTGGGAATTAAACCTGTGACCCTTCAATCTGGGGGTTGATGCTCCAACCACTGAGCCAAATTGGCCAGAGCATGGGAGATTTTCATTTTCTCCTGCAGCCAAGTAGCTACTCATCAACATTTCTCACTCCTGTGTGATTCTTACCAATGCTTCCTACTCTCCATATCAGCACTGTACGGTTAATTAACCCAACCTTCCAGTTGTGTACTGGGCCTGTTAACTACATCAGCCCTGCCAAATGCCCAGTTAGCTGACTCAGGATGCTTTGGTGGGGTTCAAAGTATGTATCTGCTCCCAACCCCATTCTCCCATGCTGCCTAGTTCTCACTTTCTCTGTGATTTATGGTCTTAGGGCAACTATCTCCTCTCCTGTGGCTGCCCACCCCTCAAATTAATGTCAATGATGAGCAATTACAGCTGCAGCTGTGGGGTGGAGGGAATAAAGCTTTACATCTTAGTTCCTTTTTAAAAAATATATTTTATTGATTTTTTACAGAGAAGAAGGGAGAGGAATAGAGAGTTAGAAACATCGATGAGAGAGAAACATTGATCAGCTGCCTCCTGCACACCCCTTACTGGGGATGTGCCTGCAACCAAGGTACATGCCCTTGACTGGAATCAAACCTCGGACCCTTCAGTCAGCAGGCCAACGCTCTATCCACTGAGCCAAACCAGTTAGGGCTATATCTTAGTACCTTTGATTTCATTTGTTTCCTGATGTTTGAGCAAGGGCACTGCCTTTTCATTTTGTATGGATCCTACAAATTATCAAGCTAGTCCTGAGAGGAGGAACAGGTGTTTTTGGTTAGGGAGGAAAGTCAAGTTTAGAATACACTGAATTTGAGGAGCCCCTGGCACATCCTGGGGGAGGGTGTGGTTTCTTAGTCCTGAGCTGAAGATGGAAGCTTGGCAGGTACCCGCTGAAAGGGATCTGGGATGCAATGGTGGATGGCTCTGAATGAGGTGGAGGACACTAAAATTGGGACCTGGTTACACTTCACCTGATTGGACATCAGATAGGCCTGGTGTCAAAGCTCACCTCTGTCAGTAGATGAAGACTGGGTGCAGGTTTCTTAATCTTCAAGTTTACTGGTCTGGGAGAAACCAAGATGGCGGCATAGGTAAACACCGGAGTTTGCTGCCTCGAACAACCACTTCAAAAATACAACTAAAAGACTGAACGGACATCATCCAGAACCACAGGAAGACTGGCTGAGTGGAAGTTCTACAACTAGGAGGAAAGAGAAAAGCATAGCGAGGCTCAGAGGAGGCACAGTGCTGAAGTAAAATACTAAGGTTCAGAGTGCATGCGGAGCGGGCTGGCTGCTGAGGGCGTGGTTGTCGTTTTCAATCGGGAGGGAGTCTCAGGCTCTGAGCTCCAGTTCCAGGCGAGTCTCTAGGGACCCAGACTCATACGGGAGAAGCGGGACTGTCTGGCATCACTCAGAACCCTAAGGCAGCTTTCTCTCCGTGGAGCTTGCAGCGATTACTGGGACACTGAGAAGCAGAGCCTCTGAGGGCAAGACTGAGAGCAGCCATAATTGCTAACCCCGCCCTGTTGATCCCGTGGGACCCACCCCGCCCAAGCCCTGCAGGGAGACTTTTGCTGGATAGCCTCAGGCAAAGGCTAGATTAGCACCTCCCTAGAGATCCAGGAGCCAGGAAGCCCAGAGGTCAGAGTGGGACCATCCAGTTTGCAGCTCCGTGGAACCATAAAAGACACACTCAGGGGGCAGACTCAGTGAGCACCAAAGCCCCATCGAAGCAAGTCTAGCCCCAGAGAGGTGTCTCCAGCACAGAAGTTCTCCCACTGCAGACACAGCTGATTCTCACAGCCAATTGGCCTGGAGGTCAATTCCTCACAGTGATAACTACAACAATCAAGGCTTAACTACAACAAGACTGTGCACAAAGCCCACAAGGGGGTGCACCAAGAGTGTCTACCTCAGGTAATTGGGACACTTAGTACAGAAAGGCACTCTATTGACACAGCGAAACATAAAAAATGCCGAGACAAAGAAACAGGACACAAACGACAGAATTGGAGGAAAGCAAACTGTTGGATATAGAGTTCAAAATCACACTTTTAAGGTCTTTAAAGAACTGTCTAGAAGCCGCCGATAAATTTAATAAGGCCCTCGAAAAGACTGGTGAGACTGCCGATAAATGTAGTGAGATCTTCAAGAAGACTGGTGAGACCGCCAATAAATGTAGTGAGATCCTCAAGAAATCGAATGAGACCCTCGATGTTGTGATAAAGGACCAACTAGAAATTAAGCATACACTGACTGAAATAAAGAACATTATACAGACTCCCAACAGCAGACCAGAGGATCGCAAGAATCAAGTCAAAGATTTGAAATACGAAGAAGCAAAAAACACCCAACTGGAAAAGCAAAATGAAAAAAGAATCCAAAAATACGAAGATAGTGTAAGGAGCCTCTGGGATAGCTTCAAGCGTACCAACATCTGAATTATAGGGGTGCCAGAAGATGAGAGAGAGCAAGATATTGAAAACCTATTTGAAGAAATAATGACAGAAAACTTCCCCTACCTGGTGAAAGGAATAGACTTCCAAGTCCAGGAAGCGCAGAGAACCCCAAACAAAAGGAATCCAAAGAGGACCACACCAAGACACATCATAATTAAAATGCCAAGAGCAAAAGACAAAGAGAGAATCTTAAAAACAGCAAGGGAAAGAAACTCAGTTACCTACAAGGGAGTACCCATATGACTGTCAGCTGATTTCTCAACAGAAACTTTGCAGGCCAGAAGGGAGTCGCAAGAAATATTCAAAGTGATGAATACCAAGAACCTACAACCAAGACTACTTTATCCAGCCAAGCTATCATTCAGAAGTGAAGGCCAGATAAAGAGCTTCACAGATAAGAAAAAGCTAAAGGAGTTCATCACCACCAAACCAGTATTATATGAAATGCTGAAAGGTATCCTTTAAGAAGAGGAAGAAGAAGAAAAAGGTAAAGATACAAATTATGAACAACAAATACACATCTATCAACAAGTGAATCTAAAAATCAAGTGAATAAATAATCTGATGAACAGTATGAACTGGTGATTGTAATAGAATCGGGGACATAGAATGGGAATGGACTGACTATTCTTGGGCGGGGGGGAAAGGGTGTGGGGGTGAGTGAAGAGATTAGACAATCATCGTGCACCTATGGATGAGGACAGTGGGTGGGGAGTGAGGGTGGAGGGTGGGGTGGGAACTGGGTGGAGGGGAGTTATGGTGGGAAAAAAGAGTAACTAATGTAATAATCTGAACAATAAAGATTTAATTAAAAAAAAAAAAGTTGCCAGAACCGGTTTGGCTCAGTGGATAGAGTGTCGGCCTGCGGACTGAAAGGTCCCAGGTTCAATATCGGTCGAGGGCATGTACCTGGGTTGCGGGCACATCCCCAGTAGGAGGTGTGCAGGAGGCAGCTGATCGATGTTTCTAACTCTCTATCTCTCTCCCTTCCTCTCTGTAAAAAATCAATAAAATATATTTAAAAAAAAAATAAAAAAAAAAGTTTACTGGTCTGTAACATGAATTCGACATGCCTTTGCACATGGTGGTTGCCAAGGTCACAGGAGATAACGTATCCCATGTGCTTAAACAGTTCTTAAAGGGGTGCTGCTGCTGTGGAACCTGAGCCCCTTGACTTTCTTCTAAGTTTCCTTCCTGTTTTTACACAGCCTCGCATCTCAGTTTTCATGCCACTGTTCTTTTTTTATTCTGTCTTAGAAGGGCCAAGCAAGGCTCCTGTGCCTTTGACTCTACAATTTCCTGCCTCCCCTCTTATGGGGATCCCTGTTCGTGGCGTCAGATATGGGGGTAATGGCGTTCTCTTTTCTTTCGACCAGCGCAGAGAGAGAGAACTGTGGGGGTTGATGAAATCTTGAATAGAACACGACCAGGTTTAAGGAAAATTGAATAAAACAAGATGGAGACAGAAATAGAGGAAAGCTGGGACCGGTGTGGCGTCTGCTCTCTGATAGATGAACAGGGCCCAGAGC